TTCTCAGTGCTGTGCTTTAACCCGCTGCACCATCAGGAAGGGCCCTCATCTGGTATTTTTAAAATTAATTAATTAATGTATGCATATTAGAACTGTGGTGTAGGCCAGAGGTGTGGCAGTGGAGGGTGGGGGGTGGGAGAGCATTAACCACAGACAGTGGGAAGCAAAACATGCAGTTCTACTAAAATATACTGCTGAGGGGAGCAGCGGGCAAGACAGGAGAGGTTTGTTATACTAGGTGGGTCAGCTCCCTGGCCAGGGATTGAACTTAAGCTGTAGCAGTGATAGCACTAGACTTAACCCCTAGACCACCAGGAAGGCCTCTGTGTTATAGGGTAGAGGGATCCACTTCTTACCTCAGAAATTATGGTAGATTTTAGCTCAGGCATTATTGCCACTGTCCCAACTGGCCTCCAGTGTTTAATAGGAAATTACTTACATTGTGAGTACAGATGCTCATATTTACCATTAAAATTCGTGCTTCTTAAAAGCCCTGCCTACCTTGGAGGTGCTATGTTGATAGGAGATGCTCACTTTAGAAAAACAGCCAGGTGTTTGTATCACCCCTGTATTGAGCCTGACCAGCATGATGCAGGCCTGGTTTTGGTCTAAATCCCTTGTCTGGGAGTTCAAGAGCACATCAGACTCCTTCCTTAGAGGAGTTAGTAGGGGCAAGGGGTAGCATTTCTGTGGCAATACTGTGTAAAGGAATTACATCCCACTCATCATCTTTAAGATTTTCAGTACCTGAGAACCATGTGTACAGATTATCATGGATTCAAATGATACTAGATTCTTCTGCTTTGAGTGCCTATTACCACTTCCTCAGATTTTTTTTCGAGGGATTTGCCTACTGCTGATCACCCTTTTTCATTTTGAATCAAAGGCCTCAGTATATAGATTTCCAAAAAAAAAATCGAAGTTTTCTTAACACAAGCCCTGTGTTATTAGTTAGCTTTTACCTTTCTGTTCACCTTTTGACAAAGCAATACCTTCATTTATATGCATTGACCAAAAGTAGAAACATACTTAAAGCAAAAGGGTAAAATACACCAAATTCAAGAGAATACATTTGTTATTTATGTGGCATCGTAGGTTCCACTTCCTGGTTTCACAGAGCTGACTGATACATTTTAATGTGAGAAACCATTAAACAGGAGATTCTGGCATGTGATTGCTGTAGCTATTTGTTTGCACCAAGCTGTGGCTCTGGCTATGTTATCTGTGATCACAGAGATGACTCACACAGATTGGTTTTTGTTTCCTGATACACAACACAGTCTCCCTTATCCACATTTGGTGATTCATTTTAGGAATTTTGGTTATAAATTTTACTTTCAGGAGCACATAAAACTTATACTTTCACATAAGACTGGAAAAGATGAACAAAACTTTCATAAAGGTGTGGAAAGACACAGAATCACAGTATACATTAGAAAAAAAAGATGAACTTTAGAATTTTGTAATCTTGTTGAGAGCATTTGGTGTGTGGAAGTTTATTACCAATCAGTTTGTTACATGTTCTATCCTAGAAGCCAGAAGTGACTACATTGCTAATATCCTATTATCTAATTTCTTTATATATAATCACAGTACTTATGTTACTAATTATATGGAAAGCACCATTACTTTATGACAAATACTGCATTATTATAAAGACTTAAATGTTATTTTAAACCCACTAAGTACATTGTTTTTTTAAACTCAAAAGGCACAAAATAAGTGTACAGTTATCTTGTCCTTCTGATGAAAATGCCTTGGTCAGTAGCGGCTTTCTATCAGAATATTCATAGAGCACCACCATTCACTCAAGTGTTGTGATTGAGTTCTTGTAGTTGATTTATTGGATGTCTGAATGTATTATGGACAGCCTTTCCTAAATTTTAATATGTAGACCTATCACTTGGGGATCTTGAAAATTCTGATTCAGTGGATATTAGGAAGAGCCTGAGAGTCTACTTTTCAATCAAACTTCCAGGTAATACTGATGCTGTTGGTGTGTGGGTCACACTGAGTAGCATAATTAAATACCATGAGAACCGTACACATCTATCCCACCTACCCCACACACACATGCATATTTTGATAAAGTAGACAATAGTAGGTCACACTTGGTACTTGGTAGGCTGTTTGAAGGGTCTTAAGAAGGAGATTTTGACTCAGGAATGGAATACAAATAACAAGCAAAAAGTATTCTGACCAGAACGGTCAGTAGAAAGTAGACCAACCTTTGTTGAGTCTTCTCTGTTTGCTAGGCACTGAACTGGGCATTTTGTTTAGTTATTCAAATTCCTGTTGAGGAATTTGATGTTCAGAAAGCAAGTCAGTTCAAGAACAGTAATATGAACCCAGAGTGTAGGGCTTGTCTAGAGTGTTGGGTGTGTTCTTTCTCTTACACCAAAATAACCAGCTTCCTTTTGTGTATGTAAGAATTAACCAAGTAGGTCCTTGGGCCCTGGAATTTATACAGCTAGAAGTGATGAGGCACCTGTATCCAGAGTCACTCTGAGTGCAAGAATTTGTAGGATGTAGAAGTAATGTTCCACCAGTAGTGGACTCTGCTCCTTACTTTGCTTCTGAATTCGTGAGGGTGATTTGATTGTATGCACCCTTTCTCTCAGGCACACATTTGAGGGAAGCTTCCTAGAGATTTCAAAATGGTCTTTGACCTATTATAGAGGAAGTCTGTCTTTTCTTTCTTAACTCTCTTCTGTGGTGAAGTAGAAGGACCTTAGACTTTGAATTAGAACACCTAGTTTAGGGTTTCATCATCACACTACCAGGACAATTCTATGCTACTCTAAAATATATATAATCACACTGGGGAGATGAACTATAAGTAGATATTTTTAAAACAGTGAACTTGACAAAACTCTACATTTTTTATTTAATTACTTCTGAGAAAAATATTCATGAAAAATGTGAAACATTGCTTGAAAGTCCTGTCATTCTAGGTGGTTATTTGTGATTCTGGTCTTTTGTTTTGGGGGAGTGTTTTGATTACTGTTTCAATTTCACTGTTTGCAATTGGTCTGTTTAGGTGTTCTAGTTCTTCTTTATCTAGCTTTGGGTGATTGTATTGTTCTAGGAATTTATCCATCTCTTCTAGATTGTTGAACTTGTTTGTATATAAATGCTCATAGTAACCTCTGGTTTTCTTTTGATTTTTGCTAAGTTTGTTGTAAGTTCTCTTTTTTGTTTATGATTCTGTTTGTGTTTTCTCCCATGTTTTCTTTGTGAGCCTGGCTAGAGGTTTGTCTATTTGGTTTATTTTTTGAAAAGCCAATTTTTGGCTTCATTATTCTTTTGGATTGTTTAATTTCTATTTCATTTATTTCTGCTCTGATTTTTATTATTTCCTTTCTTTTACTGGTTTTTGGGTTCTTTTATTGTTGTTTGAGGTGGGTGATTATGTTGTTTCTTTGAGTTCTTTCTTGTTTCTTGATATGAACCTGTATTGCTCCATACTTTCCTCTTGTTACTGCTTTTGCTATTCCCATACACTCTGGAAAGTGGTGTCCACATTGGTGTTCAACTCAAAGTATTTTTTTAATTTCTTCTTTGATCACCTCTTTAATCCAGTGGTCTTTCAGTAGTATAGATTCCAATATCCATAAAGTGGAAAGATTTCTTGCTTTCTTTTCTTGATTTATTTCTAGTTTGATGCCTTTATGATCAGAGAAAATAGTTGGAATGATTTTGATTTTAATGTATCTGTTGGTGTTGGTCCTGTGGCCAACATCTGGAGAATGATCCATTCACACTTAAGAAAAATGTATACTCAGTTAGTTTTGTTTGTTTGTTTTTTGAGTGCAGTATTCTATAGATGTATGTGAAGCCCCTGAGGTCTAGGTCTTTATTTAGGGCTATAGTTTGTTTATTATTTGTCTCGATCTGTCCATTGGTGAGAGTGGGTTGTTGAAGTCTCCTACTATTACGTATTCCCTCTAACGTCTGTTTTCAGAGTTGATAATTGTCTTATATATTTTGGCTTATCTTCATCACTGAGTGTATGCTGATGATGTGTTATATCGCCCTGATGTATTGTCCCCTTAATCATAATGTAGTGTCCATCTATGTCTTGTTTTACCTTTTTTAGTTTGAAATCTATTTCATCTGATATAAATATAGCTGTTCCTACCTTTTTTTTAAAAAAAAGATTTATTTATTTATTCATACAGAACTGGGGTACAGGCCAGAGATGCGGAAGGTGAGAGGATTATCCAGGGACAGAAATGGGGAGCAGAACAGGCAGATCGACAAAGTACACTGCTGAGGGGAGCAGTGGGCGGGTCAGGAGAGGTCTGCTGCACCATGTGGATCTCCTCCGGGGCTGGCGGGAATCGAACTCATGCGGAAGTGGCTTTAGCTTCTTAGTGCTGTGCTTTAACCCGCTGCACCACCAGGGAGGGCCGTTCCTACCTTCTTTATTGACCCATTCGCTTGTAGGGTTATTTTCCAACCTTTTACTTTCAGTCTGTGTTTATGTTTTGTAGTTAAATGTGTTCCCTGGAAACAGCAGATGGTTCAATTTTGTTTTTAATCCAGCCTGCTACTCTCTGTGTTTTTATTGATGAGTTTAGTCCACTTACATTTAGAGTTGATATGTTGGCATCTGTATTTGCCATTATGTTTCTCTTTTTGTGATTTTTATTCCTTCCCTTATTTTGTTCTTTTTATTCATTCCTCTGTCAGTTTTAGCTTTAGGACTTCTTGTAGTATTTTTTGGTTCAA